TACATCCTACTCTGAGCTGACCCTGGACTGAAGACAGCGAGGCTATTTTTTTTTATCTCCTATCTGCCTGTATTGTCTGTCTGTGATAATGACACCAGATATCTGAGGTCCTGAACTGGACTGATATGTTTGCCTTATGTCATCTTCATATTTCTCCTCTCGTGAATGAACTTCTCTCATAAATCTAAACAATTCTCACACCTCATGCTTGTGGAAATTTACTAGGCTTGTAGAACTGCATAATGTGCATTGAGACTTACTGTAACATTGGATCACTTCACCTGATGCAGCAGCTTACAGTAGGAAATGATGTCACTAGTGATGGAGGAAAGGGTGAGCATGCTTGAAACACACTCCATGCAAGTACAATTGTGGCAATGCTTGCTCAGTTTGTGTATCATGCATTTCAATGTGTGTCAGAGAGGCGCTACAATACAGAAACCTCCCACATTTACTTTACATCTTGCAATTGTGAGTGTATTTATTGCACTAACAGAGAGTTGCATTTGCAAGAACTTTATATCTCAAAGTTTTTTTTTTTACTTTCTCACAATTACACATTTTATTTTTTATTTGAGGTGAAAGCAGGCTTCAATATTATAGTGTGCATTAGGGCTGGGTTTTGACACAAATTTCACGATTCGATTCGATTCTCATTCATACGCTTGCAATTCGATTACCAATTTGATTCGATTCGATTCAATATCGATTATTTTGGATATATATCAGGTACAGTACTTGCCAAATTCTCTCAACTAAAAAAAATCTCTCAACTAATGCTGTAAAGTATACATGAGAGTCAGTTGGTGCTACATTACTATAATATTAAAGGTTAAAGTTGACTGATTTGTTAAAATTACACTTAATGAAGTTTTTAAAATAATAAAGTTACAATTACATAATATTTCTACTTCAAAAATTATTATTATTTTTTTTAAACGTCAACAGTAAAAATTATAATGAATATGTTATATGGTGCATATATTTAGCAAAATACCCCTCTCTACAGTTTATTTTTCAATGAGTTTATGGTCACTGAATTTTTTTTCTGAGGTAAATGTGACGATACGTGACATTGTTTACAAGCCATTACTGACGTCTTTGCACGGCTGAAACACTGACTGAGCGATTACATGAGACTCTTTTCTTTTAACTTACCTTCGGATGTTTAGTCATGTTTATTTTGTGCTGAAGCTGGTATTAATGTGGAGAAGATGACTAGTTTACGTGCGCCTCGCGCTGCCGCGTCTGTAGAACTGAGGCGCTACAGCGATCTGTCACTCCACATTAAACAGCACCAAAACGGCATTTATTGTTTGAATACTAGAATACAATGGACAGAATTTTAAATCTGAGACTTTGTTTCATATTAAAAGTACCAAAGCACAATGCTTATTGCAATATATTGGATGAGAAGTGCCCTTCAACATTCCGTCCATTAACTGAAAACAGGCTACACTAATCGATTCTTGGGATTTAAGAATCGATATCGTTCCGAATGAGAATCGTCTATATTTTTTTTACCCAGCCCTAGTGTGCATTACTGTATTTCTCACAGTAACAGGAAACAAAGTTGCATTTACAAGTAACAGATCTTTATATCTCATAACTGCAATGTTGTATTTAGCCTAACAGTTGTGACTACTTCCGTTTAGCAAACTTTCTCACAATTTCCCATTTTATATTTTACTCTGAGGTGGAAAGGCCTTCCGTAATATAGCTTGCATTAGTGTATTTCTCACGGTAACAGGAAGTAAAGTTGCAAGAAACTAAGATTTTTTTATCTCATAATTGCAACTTTGTATCTCACATTTGCTCATTTATTTCTTTTTGTTAACTTTCTCACAGTTACACATTTTATTTTTTACTCTGAGTTAGAAACAGGCTTCAGTATTACTGTGTGAATTAGTGTATTTCTCACAGTAGCAGGAAATAGCTGCATTTGTGATAAACTTACATCTTTATATCTATAATTGCGACCACGTATCTCACAGTTTGTTTCTTTTCGTAAACTTTCTCACAATTACCCATTTTACTCTTGAGGTGGAACGGCCTTCCGTAATATAGTTTGCATTAGTGTTATTTATCATGATAACAGGAAATAAAGTTACATTTGCAAGAAACTCAGATCTTTTAATCTCAAAATTGCGACTGCATGTCAAAGTTGCAACTATTTCTTTTAGTAAACTTCGTCACAATTACCCATTTAATATTCTACTCTGAGGTGGAACAGCCTTCCGTATTATAGAATGAATTTGTGTATTTCTCACAGTAACAAGAAAGAGTTGCATTTGCAAAAACTCAGATCTTTATCTCTCATACTTGTGACTTTGTATGCCACAGTTGCGACTACTTCTTTTGGTAAACTCTCAAAACTACCAATTTTATATTTCACTCTGAGGCAGAAACAGGCTTCCAAATTGTAGTGTGCTTTAGTGTATCACGTCTTCTAAATTCAAGTTAGCTGATCTGTCACTAGCTTTATAGCAGGCTACATGAATAACTGAAAATACTCAAAGAAATCAATTCAAATCAGTACGACTGCACTCAAGGGTACTCAATGCCAACGTGATGTCTACGCCTGAATATGTTCAATCTCCAAGCAGACCATCATAACAGACGTAGATGGGTTTTCTGTTTAGTTTGGGGCTGGCTGGCTCTGGCCGGACTCTCTAATGATTTCGGAAGCCTGGCTTCAGCCATGTAAACAGACTGTGTGGCCTATAAACTCTGCTTTTCCTGTTATCTGCTGCTAGTCGAACATTTGGACAAGAGTCTGCGTGCCTTGCGTCTCATTTTCTGCTCCAAACACGGCGCGGTAAACAAATGGGGGGACAGTCACACACACATGGACGAAAAACAAACAAAGCAGACCCTCACTGAACAAGTGCTCTCTTACACACATAGGCCTGCACACATCAATAAACACAAGACCACTTTAAAAAGACAGATTTCCTGATGTTCACTCCATGTGCAAAACTTGAAAAGCAGAAGCATGACAAGAAACATGTTTGTAGTAGCAGTACTAGTAGTAGTATAGTTTTTAATGACATGTCAGCAACTGAGGCTATTTTCATAGCAAGAACTGAGTTAGGTAAAAATAAAACCAAACAAAAATTAGAAAACTTTTTCTGGTAAAAGCTTACTAAACAAGTCCATAAGTGAGCTTATTGAATTAAAAAAAATGTGTCTACTTGTACTAAGAGCAGGACGGTCCAATCAAATGTTGAAACATGTTTGTAAAAAGGCTTTTTTCAATATTTGTACAAAGCATTGTGAAACGTCCCTTCAACAACTATGCACACTTAAACCCGCTGTCCTTTGAGAGAAACTCTATTGGAAGTGTGGAAAATAAGAATAAACCAAGCTTCTTTGATGGATTCTCATTTTAAAAATTCTCTACATTATTCAGTTACATCAGCGACCAGGAAGGCAGCTAATGTTACTGGCCTAGCCTAGCACCCTCTGTTCAACAACATAGTGAGGTAGACTGTAAATCTTACACTTGTCAAAACCTGGTCATTTATGGTAAACTCCAGGCTAAGGGCAACAAAGAGCACAGGAACTGAACACATGAGCTTGTGCCTCCAGGCCACAGGAGAATTTGGGCAATTAACGGACACAACGGTGCAAAACGTTTGTGGAAGCTATGGCTAACCAGGTTCGCCGGCTCCATATTTTGCAATCACTGAACAATGTCAAGACTGAACTCTGAAGGATCCCTGAGAAGCAAGCTGAATGACGCATTGAGATGTAGCTGGAGATCAAGATCATGGCAAACTGCAAAGCAGCAAAATCTGAATGACTCAATGAATTGTGACTGCAGCTCAAAAGAGATTCACTTCAGATTCACTTTCTAAGCAAGTGTGAATTGTGAATAGAATATTGTTACTTTTGAAATGTACAGACAGAAAATAGGCCACCATCTCTAAAACAGGTTTGCTGAAATCAAAACAACAGGACTGTAGTACAACTAACCTTAATAAGAAGAATATACTATTTCTCGCCTTTCCTTCTCAAAACCATCAGGGCTCCATTATCATTTTCCATGATGTAAGAGAGCAGCTTTACACTTACAGCGTTTTTACAGCTAAATGTACTTTCACACTGATTATGTAACAGTGGGGAAAATGTCCAATTAAAACCTTTGCTTTATTGTATGCAATATCTCTGTCCTATGATAATGCCATTCAATGTCTGCCAAAAAGACGACACGAACTACAATCTATCTACCCTAGTATTGTGGTTCTGGTTTACATCTAGCTCAATCTGAATCTGAATCAATCAAGCTTCAGACGACACTTCAGGATAGCGGAATAATTAATGGTCGTCTGGCGAGGCCTTATGTTTCAAAGCACCAGCAAAGGAAGTAGCGGTTATTGTGGTATCGGTGGTAACGAAGACAAGCGTCGTTCACATCGCCTTATAAACGGGTTGACCTGGTTCCTACTGCGTTTATGTTAACTAGCAGCGCGTGTTAAAAAGGTGCCAGCTGTAACATATCTACCATTTCCTCACACACAGCTCACGTTATGTAGCCCACCTCAGTGAAAAACTAGCATACAGCGAATATAGCTTGTGGTCTTGTATTTTTAAAAAGCACGACGCGTAAAACGGATGTAGGAGGCTGCTGTTTTCCTTCGTTTGACCCTGCAACACGTACCAACTGTCAAACGATACAATGTAACAGCATTACTGCGCTGGCGTTCTGAGGTCGGTTACAGATGAAAGCACCGCTGGAGGTGTTTCAAACAATGTTACAGGATAAATCCAGATTACACCATCACGATAGGCGCACGAGCAGCGGTCAAATCTAGCAAAGTACTGCGTTCTGAGGTCGGTTACAGATGAAAGCACCGCTGGAGGTGTTTGAAACAATGTTACAGGATAAATCCAGATTACACCATCACGATAGGCGCACGAGCAGCGGTCAAATCTAGCAAAGTACGTGAGATTCAAGCACGATAAATCACATTTTCGCGGTAGTTTTCCGTACTCACCCTCTCTTGCCTTCAGGAGTACCGTGTTTGCAACAATATTCTCCAGCTCCATCAAAATAACCCTCCGTGGTATTGCCGTGGAAGCCGAAGAGTAGATAGAGCTCCTTATTGCTCCTCCCAGCCGAACACGCTATTTTCCGTCCGTACAAAAGTATTTAAAACAAAAACCTAGGCATTTTAAACTACCAACACACGTATAGACAAGTAAAACAACGAATCGCTGGCGTACGCGTGCGGTTGTTGTAGTTTGCGCCACAAAACGCGCGAGGAAGGCATTGCCTGTTCAAACGAGCCACTGGCGACAAGTCCGGTTAAAACGAGCATGTCAGAGACAGCAGGCCGAGGTCTACATCCTCTGAGGCGGCACGGCAGAAAACGGATCAAGTATCGCACGGTTGATCGCAGAGGAGTTTAGTTGTTGAAGTGCCGCTGTCACCATCAGCGTGCTCCCTCTCTCGGTGCGTAATCGCAGCAGGGCTGGGTTTCTGCTTTCAGTTGTAATTTTTGGCTGGGTCCCAAGCGGCTTTCCCGGTGGCTCCGTTCAGGAGTACAGCGGCATTCAAATGGCGAAGGGATGCGTGCGGTGATAACAGTATATGAGATTCATCTTTAGCGCTTGTCATGTTTCCTTGTCATGCCTATTCAACAAGCGTTTGGAAGGGGCGTGTCAAATGCAGCTGTGACGCACGGGCTGAGAACAAGCATGCATGGCTGTCGAAGGATATTTGATAGCAGCGCATACAAGCCGCTCCCGCTCATTCAGTCGGCGCTGGGCGCAATAATAAAAATTGGGATAGCCCGGGATTCAAAGTCAAAGCCAATAAATAGCAAAGGAGAAGAATTACACCCTGTTTTGATTTAAACGGTGGCCATTTTTACTCAACGTTACATTTGCATGGCGATTATAAGTTTTGTGTGCTTAGGCTAATTGAGCAACTTTTGATTAGGACTTTGAATGTACAGATCCATTCCCGCGCAGAAACTATAAACGGGATAAGTATATAAACTAGAATTAAGCAATATGCCTTTTAACACAGCTGTGATTCGGCAATAAATGCCAAGTGAATCACTGCTGATATTCAGACCAACACAAATGCGATTTGTGGTATCGTTTTTATAAATCGATTCAATAAAAAATTTAAAAAAAAATAAATTCCAGGTAAAAATTTGACCTGTTAGTACATATATTTTTGATTATTTGTCAGCGAAAATAGTGCCAAACCCAATGCATCAAGTTTTGTGTCAACGCACATACTGAAATTCGGAGTGGAATCGTGGAGGAGTGGACGGACATTTCACCTCACCCGGTTCGAATCCCACTCCGAATTTTCTCTGAAACTTTAGAAACTAATAATGGACACTTTTAAATCCAATAAAGTGAAATTTAGGGAATTTACCTCTTAACAATGCTCTACATTTTACATATTCTCAAGAAACTGTATGATCTGCACTACAAACATGATTTTTCTAAGTTCAATTGTTAAGTGTAAACTATTTCACATACCACATTTTATGTAGGCAAAATTATTACTCTGTAATAAATCTGCAATTTAGTGTAATATATTCACTGTATATATGGCCCTCTTCTAAGTAGCCTATGTGAAAACACTGCTGTGCCATTTTAGCTTGTGTCTAACAGAAGCTTTAATCTGTGATGTCCTTCTCTCTGAGACCTCTTGCCTCAAAACAGAACAAAGGCAAAATCACCCCCTAGCTACCGATTAATACAAGGACATGCTTCACATGAAAATCCTAATTGGGCTACTGTTCAAGCATATACTAAACCCATATGTTTTATAATTATAATATCTTTTTTAATAATATTATGTCCTATTCAAACATCTAATGTAAATACACTAACATTTTAAAACCTTGTTTATTGGCTTCTAAAAACACTTTTGGAGATTAATCATCGAACATAATTTTACATCAAAATTAAATGTGGTTTCTCAGAGGCAAGTGGAGTGAAACAATTAAAGAAAAGTAGATTTTCATTGGTATAAAATAGGTTTAATAGAACAAAAATATTTCATGTATTTTACACAATATACCAACTTAATAACCATAGCGTCATATCCATAACAGTGAACACCGAAATAAACTTATTTTCTTGTATACCATTATTGTTGTTTAAACTAAAAGCCAACAGGCCAAGTGCTTCAGTTTGGTGCTCCATCCTTCATTTCACTATGGCATCTGCCATAAAAGAAACACAGATGGTGGGCGATTCTCAAAACATGACTTTACAGCAACTAGTGAAACAAAATCTTGAAGTCACAATCTCGTGAGACTCACTCCTCTATCATTGGACGGAATGATTTCAGGCAGAATGTCATCTCAAATCAAACAAAACCACCCAATAAAACAAATAAAATCATCCAAAAAAAAACAAACAAAGTTGTTTCAGAAATCATCTAACGTGTCAGCTTTAGGGATCGATAAGCCTCGCTCTTTCACTGCCTGTAGCTTCAGTCTCTCTGACTCTTGCTTGGCTTGCTGTTCTGTCCGCTGTTCCTCCAGGATTTCCTCAATGGAAACTCTCTGGAGGACCTGATCACACTCTTTATCCAGATCCTGGAAGGAAACAATAGCACAAGGTTACATTTCAGTGAGTAGTGGCAAGATTTATGATTGGTTGCCTTCATGAAATGTTGCTTCTTTATACACAAAGTCATAAAACCCTTCCAAGGGCAGAATGAACATGTACTTACTACTTCTCCAAGCAAGACCACATTTTCTCCTCTGACAACAAATATCCCACGAGGTATGTCACCAAATTTTTTACCAACGTGAATACGTTCAACAGTTTGATGCAAAACTAAATTAGCTGTGGAAAAACAAAAATAATGTAACAAGTTCACTGTTGAAACATACTGGTAAATTTTACAGTACTGAATATTGTCAATTTCCTTTGCACATTATTACTGGTCTAAAAAGGCTTAATTCACCCAAAAATTACATTTCTTTTTCTCATTTGTGACCCTGGACCACAAAAGATTTATACATTTATACAGGACAATATTTGGCCGAGATACAACTATTTGAAAATCTGGAATCTGAGGGTGCAAAAAAATCTAAATACTGAGAAAATCGCCTTTAAAGCTCCTCCAAATGAAGTTCTTAGCAATGCATTTTACTAATCAAAAATGAAGTTTTGATATATTTACGATAGGAAATTTACAAAATATCTTCATGGAACATGATCTTTACTTAATATCCTAATGATTTTTGGCATAAAGGGAAAATCAATAATTTTGACCCATACAATGTATTTTTGGCTATTGCTACAAATATACCCCAGCGACTTAAGACTGCTTTTGTGCTCCAGGGTCACATTTACTCTCCCTCATGTGGTTACAAATGTGTACGACTTTCTTTTTGCCAAACACAAAAGATATTTTGAAGAACGTTGGGGTCCATACATCATTGGACCCCATTGACTTTTACTGTACAGGCAAAATAAATAAAGAAAATTTTTTTTCCTGTTTTGCATACAGGTATGGACTGACATGAGTGCGAGTAAATTACACATCACATTATTATTACACATCGAATTATATTTTATTTATTGAGACCTTCACCCCAACACCAAACAGTGGAATGCCTATAATGCAATATTTCCTTGCAAATTAACAAGGTCAGGCCTCTATACATACCAAACTGATCTATGCTTCTAAGGATCCCAATCAATGTTCTTCCGTCGCGAAGCAGAACAAGGTGTTTCTCTAACAAGGGGAAAATCAAAGCATCGTCAGTCACATCAATACTGTTGAACTTGAATATTTTCCCATGAGTTTATTATCTATGATCATACGAACATCTGCACTGAGGCGATTATTATTCATGCGAACTAGTCCATCTTGCGGAACAAAAGCCAACAGGACACGATTTATATTTTTATCTTAAACATGTAACGTTACCACCAACGTGACTTTTATAAATGCTCAAAGATGCTAGGCGAGCATCATTACACAACGCCAACTGTGTGTCTCAGCAGGTGAATTCACTCAAATACTTTCAATTATTTTGCAGTAAACTTACTATCAATGTCCTCGATGAGGCTCGCAGTCCCTGGCATGTAATTCATTTTGCTGACATTTGGGAGATTTTTTTTAAACGTAAAGTATCAAGCCATGGACCATTTCAAATGTGTATCTTTATTCCACAGGATGTAACACACTGTGGAAGTGCTTCTTCTTCTTCTGATGTTTAATGGCGGTTGGCAAACCAGCTTTTGGTGCATATTCCGCCACCTACTGGGATGGAGCGTGAGGCGATGATATCAAGGGAAATGCTAATTCAAAAAACTACCTATATTTTATTATATAAATTTGTTCTTTTCAGAAAATTAATAAGAGCTTTATGTAATGTCATAGAATTAATGCCGGCAGATTTTAATTCCTCTTTTAACTGTATTCTTTCCCTTTCATATGCCCTACAGTTAATCAGCACATGCTCTACAGTTTCTGGAAGTCCACAATGATTACATTGACCAGATTCATGTCTTCCTATCATCTGGAGTGATTTATTAAGAGTAGAGTGTCCAATTCTCAATCGAGATATAACTGTATCATCCCTTCTATTACCATAAGCAGTTCTTACTTGTCCTACTTGTTTATTTATATTATACAAATGTCGCCCTTTGTTACCTTTATCCCATCTCTCTTGCCATATCTTTCTGACAGCTACTTTAATTAAACCTTTAATTTCAGATTTACTCAAGGGTATATGTATGTCAATATTTGTGTGCTTAAGAGCCTGTTTCACTATCTTGTCTACCTCCTCATTTCCTTCCACTCCAACATGAGCAGGCACCCATACAAATTCTACTATAATTCTCAGTTGCTGTATTCGGTACAAACTTTGCAGTACTTCTAATATAATATCTTGTTGTAATAACGATCTAAATGCTGCTGCACTATTGTCTCTTTTGGAACATATTTCTTGTTTTCACCAAGGTGGATATACTGGCAGAGCCACCGTGGGGATAATATCGATATTACTGATATCTATTTGTTGAGCCTGCTTGCCTACTGTCCAGCCAAAACTATTCAGATATGTCTGCTCATATTCCCAGCAGCTCTCCAATATTTTTTTTACTGGATGATTGGTAAAATGACCTTTAATACCAGTCCAATATACCATTTTAAGCTGAATTTCACGAATGTCTAGTGGTGTTTCACCCATTTCTACCTGCAAAGCTGTCACAGGAGAGGATCTAAACGCTCCACAACATATTCTAAGGGCTTGGTTTTGAATCACCTCTATCTTAGTTAATAATGAGGTTGATGCTGAGCCATATACTAATCTACAATAATCAATTGCTGACCTAATTAATGCACTGTATACCCTTTTAAGAGAACGTCTAGTAGCTCCCCAATCTACTCCTGCCAAGCACCTCAGCACATTGACTCCTTTCTTACATTTATCAACTAACTTCTGAATATGTGACCCAAATGTTAATTTGGAATCCATCCATACTCCCAGATACCTTATTAGTGATACTTGCTCTAATGTTTGTTTATACAACTTTAATTTAACTTCAGGAGTTTTCTTCTTCTTTGAAAAACATATTACCTGGGTTTTTTCAACTGAAAGACGAAAACCCCATTGATTAGCCCAATTTTCAACAACATCTATAGCCTCCTGCATTTTCTGCCCTACATACTGCAGGTTCTTCCCTTTTGTCCACAAAGCTCCGTCATCCGCGTATAGTGCTTTTCCTA